TAATCGATAAATCGATATTACTCGATTTTAATTGATAATAATCAATCAATTAAGCAAATTAATCAAAATCAATAATCACAGTAGTTTAAGCATCAGGTATAGATTTCTATCGATTTTGAGAAACTGTCGGGATACTGCGACAAAACACCCGCTAATAATATACTCAGGAAGCCAATTTCAAAACAACTGGGAGGCGAAGCGACTGCAATTCTTTCAGCGTCACATGTCAGGATCGATTTTGAAAGTTGCTTTTCCTCAGTCCCCGATATAATCGATCAAAACTGATACTAGTGGAACCTTAATTAACAAAATCAATCAAAATTGATAATCCCAAAGAACCTGGCCATCAATTTTGATCGATTTCCAATTTTAATTGATTAATTATTATCGATGTTTATCGATTTTGATTGAGTATCGGAATTATTGATGTGTTACGTCCTGTGTCAATGGACAAGGATTGCATTGGAAATTAATTGTTTTCTTTAATGTTTTATACAATAGTTGCACGAAAGTTAAGTTTTACAAGATTGTCGCTTGCTGGGTCTCACAGCAGCAGGTACAAAATGCAGGTCATAGGTCACAGGTTACAGGTCATAGGTTACAGGTCACAGAAAATTCAATGAAAATAAGTTAGACATTCCATTAGGCTTTTCATGTTTATTTATTTGTTTCATTTCCAGTTACGTCACAATCATGCATGTCTGGCATCGCCCATGCCTTCCGGTTATGTTTTGAGAGTAAAACAACTAAATAGCAACACTTTTCAGAATTTACGACTGGATCCATCACATGAAATACCATCACTCAATTTTGTGACAACTAACATGTTAATGTACGCAGTCACAAATCATAATCGGCAACTCGTGATTGTAGTACAGTCGATAGTTAGCAAAGTAGACGTGTGTTGATAGTTCCCTAGGTAATTTTTCAGTTATTCAGGGGAACTGAGGTCAAAATAACTTATCAGCTGTGCTGTTTTCTTACCTTAAAACTTTCCTCTTCTACCCTGTTGTTTTTTGTTTTTTTTACACACAAGGAGGTTCTTTTCCGTTCCATTCTCCTCATTTGACGTGAAGTGAAGACAAAGTCTTCAGACTTACAAACAAGACAAAGAACTCTTCAAGTTCCAGTACAATGTGCAACTGTCACAACTTAGTTATTTTACTCTTAGAACAAAACCACATTAAAAGCCTAACGGAATGTCTAACTTATTTTTATTGAATTTTCTGTAACCTGTGACCTGTAACCTGTGACCTGCGTTATGTACCTACCGGTCTCACAACATGGACAGAGGGATTTCAAGATTACACACTATCAGTGTATGGGAGGGGCGGGGGTGTGTTGGGTGGGCATCAAAGGTTGTACCGTATTATGACATGACTAAGTTAGTTCAATAGGCCAATAACTAAAATCAAGCAGTCAGATTGCTCCCTCCCCAGTCCAAGATTCTCTAAGTATTGGACTGGGCACTGTCCTGAATGATCCAGCTAGATCATTCTTGAAGTTCCAATGTTTAAAGCCCCAAAATCTTGAGGTCTCAAAAATTACCCCCAAAAGTCTTGAGATTTGGGTCCCAAATAGTGCGATTTACAAAAATGCTTTAAAACAAAGGAATCTCAATGCTGACAAACCGAGCAGTGTTCAAACTACCATAATTAGTGCCCTTTTAGCATTAATTAACACCGTAGGACTTCAAACACTGACAGGAGAGTCTTGAACGTCTCGTTCCGCCATCTTGAACACATGAAACAAATCCTTCTTAATAGAGTTGATTTGTATTTGCAACTATTATTTTAAATCGTGTTGATTTTAAGCCGTATCTGATTCAGATTGAAATTGACCTTATCATGGTTTTCAACGCCATCTTGACGGATAGGCAAAGTGGTCAAAAATTACAGTGTTTGTATGGGAATCTGATGGCGAATAACTTTTTCCAAAATTCGATTTTACACAATTTGTGAATCACAACATTAAAATATTAGGTAGAAGATTGTATTCACCAAGTTTGGAGGATGTAGCTTGGCCAGAAGACACTCAGTTAATTTTTCTAATTTTCCATACATTTGTCTGTAAAATTTGGCTTGCTAGACACCTCAGGACAATATTCTCCTGGTGCGTCCCTTTCACTTGGATAAGGTACATCTTAATAAGTTATGTCACATTAGTGAAATTTATGTTTAAAATTTCATTTAGACAACATTAAACCAGAAAGAATATTTTTCTGACTATAAATCAAGTGTTAGTCAACTTGTACAGGGTTACATTGCAGCAACACTGCATTTTCTTGCTTCCTAGAGTGGCTTCTTACCAAATGTCTTCAAAGTTCTAGCTCATCGGCCTGATGAATTCCGTGCTTTTTTCATGTATTATGATGCACTGATGCTTAGAGAGGGAAATCTAACAAAAGCTGAAAAAGAAATGATCGTAGTTGCAACAAGTTCAGCAAACAACTGCATGTACTGTATTGTGGCTCATGGTGCCTTGTTAAGGATCTACTCTAAAAATCCACTGTTGGGTGACCAGGTAAAGTTTTTCCTTAACCAAGTCATGTTAAGTTGATATTGTTTGTGTCTTCTCAGTAGGGGTCTAAATGAATTCAAGACAGGAAAGTATGCAAATATGACAGTTTTACAAACAGTGGAGAAACAATACAAGACTCTGGAATTGTCTACGTGTCCAAAAACAGAGATCCAGTCACAAAATTAATTACATCCTTGAATATGACTCCACACTTGAACTGTATGTTATTGGATACTTGCATCACTGTTGTTCTTTAATTACACTAATTTAAATACACAGTCATGTAAAGAACTACATTGTAATTTGAACTGAATGAGAATTTGATTAAGATATGATAAAAATAACTTAATATGCTGATGATTATTGACCAAAATTCTTTCTGAGGCATCTGAAAAAAAAAAAATTTTCTTAGTTCTGCCTATTATTAATGCATAGCCTCTTACAGGGTACTAAAATAAAGAAAATAATAACTTAATGTTTTTTTTACCTAAGGTAAGTACATTGGATCTCTTGTTACTAACTATGGCCCTGACAGACGTACACTTTACACTTTAAACAGCCCAATTATGCATGGCACTGTCACTTAATGGTGCCAGTCCAGACTGAGGTGTCTATATTGTAGATTCAAAAACTGATCTATGTCACCATGAACTGTGATTTTGGGCAAGACACTTTTCTCTCACAGTGTCTCTCAGCTGAACACCCTTTGCATAACCCTGTCACTTCATGTTGCCAATGATTGTGGTATACAATGGATGCTAGAAATAGAAAAAGCATGATGAAATAAGTTGTAAGACTTCCAATTTTGAGACTACAGATGTTTTTGGGGTCGACCATAACAGACATAGAGGAGAACAGTGGAAAGGGAGCTTAAGGAGAAAGGATTAAAATCTTGGGTGGTGGCGGCATCAGCTGCAGAGGATAGGATAGCCTGGAAGCAGAGAGGCATCAGCCCAATTCAACAAAAATGACGATTTATAAGTACCTGATTTCACTGAAGTTGGGAAGCTGGAAAAATTAAAGGATTTTGTACTGGATGGCAAAGCAATGTAAATAATTTTTTAAAACTTTCAAACTGTCATAAAGATTTAAAATGTAGACAAAAAAAATTGCAGGCTGACTAATTTCATCACACTCTTTCCATTTCTGGTATCCATTAAATTCTGCAACTTTTTTATGATTGACAAGGTCATGTGACAAACTTAATATGCAAAGTGCCTATTATTGTTATCAGTGAAATGCTGGGCCAACCTGACAAATACTGCTCTCAGCTATTGTTCCCCTAGTAACACTCCAAACCACTTCATTCTGCTGAAAAATATGGAGCTAAGCACTATTAAATGTAAATCTCTTAATGAACCCCTAGGTTCTGAACTTTACTTTATCCTTTTAATGATAGAGTAAGCTATTAGATGGCGGTTGATTGGAAAAATGACTGTAAGAAAATTGCTGAGGACTATTATGTTGGGTCAAAATTAGGTGTGTCATACTTTTTGAGTGTCTGAAGTAAATAGCTTAATGAATGATTTATTAATAAATCACTGGGTTTTTAGGTGGCAGCCAATTGGCAATGTGCCGACTTGACTGAAAGAGAAAGAGCCATACTTCAGTTGGCAATGTGTGTTTCGAGATCAGAAACAGTGGATGATGAACATTTAACAGCTTTGGAAAAGCATGGCTTGAATAGAGAAGATGCATGGGACATTGGCGCCATTGCAGGGCTCTTTGCATTGTCTAACAGAATGGCTCATCTAACCAACATGCGTCCAAATGATGAGTTTTATCTTTTGGGAAGGGCAAAGAAAGAAAAGTAGCAATGAAATCCTTTGTTGAAATAATGTAAGAACAGCCCATATGTTCTGCTTCATGCCTAGTCACCATCTTCTTTCTTGAATTAGCGTTACAAGTAGAACTTGGCCAAACTAGTGAAAAATTTGCATGTCAAGATCTTTGGGAGTGATAACATCAGTGGGGGGTGCCTCAGTGGGGAGCTTGCCCTAGAGGGGGGGGAGGGGCTTTAGTATGTCTAGGAGGATAGGTCCAGGGGGCCTGGACTCCCCTTTTAAGAAATTGTAGTTGTAGTTAGCTGTATGGTGATGTCAAAGTAGGTCAACGTTTTTATTTACTTTCTGATGTACATAGTCCCTTCTCTCCTCTAAAGGGTGTAAATGGATTTTGGCATATTGCTCTGACTGTCAGAGGAAACTGATAAAATAAAAAATAGAAAAATAAACGCTACACTTGAAATGATGAAAATTGTTTTTCTTGATTTTTAGCAGAGCTCCTGCATGTCAAAGGTGCGCAAGTGGAGCCCTATACCTTAGAAAATTTAGTAGCCCATCAATCTAAAAAGTTTGGGTTTGTCACATGACTGTTCGTATGCCAGTACCTTGAAAAGTAACAGAGTAGCACTATTACCATAGCTACTGAACATCTTTGATTTTTGTCATCCATGTTATGGCTAATTGACAGCTGTCAAAACAAGCTATCTGCTGACCAGTATCACATGACCTTATCTTGGGCTCAGGTTTAGAGCTCATCAAGGTTGACTGTACTGGTTTTTTGATTGAATCCCAGGCTCAAGTCAGGTTATAACTCCGGGGGAAAAAGAAGGAGTACATGCAAATGCAAAATTTTGGCACAAATTAGCACCTGGCACGTTGTTAACTTTTCTTCTGACATATTTCTTG